ACACACACACACACACACACACACACACACACACACACACACACACAGCGAACGCTCAGTGGCGACGGTTGCTGCTGGATACTAATGAAGCAGTACACTCATTGGGAGCAGTGAAGCAGTCCCTCTCATCTTCAGGCGCCCTCTGATTAGTCCAAAATGCAAATCCTACCTCCGCCCAGTGGTCTTGAGGGCAAACAAACCCCCAGTAATTAAGGCTTTACAAACCCCCAGTAATTAATGCAAAAGAGTTACACATAAAACCACCTCTTCAAACAAGAGACTGCTGGAAAGCATGCATTGCATAAGCCTGTCTGGTTCACATCATGTGGCGCACAGATGTTTACTCATTTGTCTGAGATACCAGTTTCTACCCAAAGAAAAAAAATGTGCAAGTTAAAAAAGAAACGGGGCACCATTTAAATAAATACAGTCGCTGTCAAAACAAGGACAACTATTCTATTCTAATAACTAGCTTATTGTTCTTCTGGTGCCAACATTCTTCAAAAAACACAGGTTACATTATGGAAAGACAACCTTCTAAATAACTCTGTCTAAGTTGCTTGTAGCAAATATGTTAACCACACCACTCTGCAGTGCACCAAGGTGAATGTGTGGTTGTGTGCTGCGGCCTGACAACACAAACCAGTGACCCCCTCCGATAAGCCTTTTCAACAAAGAGCTGGTGCTCAGACAATGCACCAGTTTGATGCCCTTTTCATATTTCTCAGTCCATTAGCGCTTGGCAAAAGATCTGCCAACACACACGCACAAATAAACAGAAACTGCGTCACACGGGGCCTCACTCATTTGATTAGGAATTCAATCATTCAGAGACACTGACGGGCCTTGTGTGATTCCAGTCAATGGGAAATGTCACTCTTTGGCCTGGTCATAAGAGAAGAGAGGTGTAGGCGTATGAATGTATTACTAACGGTTGTATCAGTTTACATAACAGTGTGTCTACGTGAGAGTGTGTGTTTGTGTGTGTCCGGGCTTACCGTGAGCATTGGGGTGGTGAGAAGACCCCATGCAAAAAACTCCAGGAAGATGACCACCACAGCATGGTAAACACTGGGCTCACCGATTCCCTGAGGCTGGATGGAGACACATACAAACAGGTGATTAGCCAAGAAGCAACACACATTTTGTTTTACTGCATCATAGTGCCTGTAAACGGTAACAGATCGAACCTCAAACTGGGATCTAATTCATAGAAGCTTTCGCCTAACGATACAGAGATTCTGTATCACCTGATCCTGTGGGACAGCCCACAGATGGGATAAAGTAAGTAAGCAAATGGGAGATATTGTTTTACTCTGGAATTTTGGAAGGAAGTTATGACTTGGCCAATACAGGGCTGAATGTTGAACTAAACCACCAAAAGACTCAGGATTGCTCTGTGACTTGCATACTTTTTTCCTTCAAATTGAAATATTATCTTCATACTGAAATCTGCTCATGGGACACGATCGATCAGTAGATTTACATCCACACAAATAATGTGATTACTGTACACAAACAAATAAAGGGAACTTTTCAAATAAGAAATGTATACGATTCACGGTAACTCCAATAAGTTGACTTTACAAGTTGCTGGATAGTTAAAAAACGTGCTGCATCCTGGAGATAATTAGGTAATAAAAACATAATGAAAATGGTATTGCTATCTAAACTGATAACTTACAGAGAAAAAGCTGTATATCTGCTGCCAGATTTATTTTGCCACAAGCCATTCTGCATTTTTCTCTCCATTCTACAACATGAGCTTAGTGGTGCCTGCACGAACCAAAGTCATCAAAGTCAAAGACCCAAGAACATAAAAGCGAATAAGGTGCATACATGCAAATACTAATTTAAAAGCAGTATTGTGGCTCTTTTAATCCAGTCATACTTACTCTAATTACAACATTGTGATTGAGACGAAGTTAACATGTTTACATGCAATATCAGCTATAGTGTCTTATGCTTATTACAAATTAATTTAGTTGAGTAAGTGAATCCACGGACCCTAAATCAAGCGGAGACGACTCATTTAATTTCAAATTCATCCAAATGTGGGACAATAATTTGTATTAAAAAAAATAATTAATTACTGACAAAATTCTTTAATTTACATTTCACAGCTAGGAGCAAAAGTGTTTGATCAAACAGGTGATATATATATAAATAACTAAAGATTATGTTCTATAGTTTACTGGGTCACAATAAATATAGACCTATAATGAGTAAAACACCCATTGGTATTCTTTAAACTTTCGTAAAACCCACTCCCTAGAGAGGAAGTCACTTCATTGCAACACAATAAAATCTACAAAAGTCTGTAAGGTGAAGAGAAAGTGTGGTCGAGTGAGCGTGGATGCTGAGCATAATCTTTAATAGGAACACAGATTCCGTATGATGATAATTCTTCAAGACTGTAAAGTAGGCCAGGGCCACCTTAACACAGGCATTAGCTGCTAGTTTACTCGCTCGTGTGGTTTTGTCACTTCCCCACGAGGAGAGGGTGAAAGCATCACCAAAAAAACAAAACAAAAAAAACAAACAAAAAACCCAGTCTTCAGGTCCGAGTATAACTGAGCGGGCCACAAGCGTCAATATTAGATTGATTGGCAAGGACTGTATAATTCCAGTGGTTCATTAAAAGTTGTTGTCGCAGACAAATCAGAAGAAAGTCACATCCTTTTTGTTCTACGACGCACCTGCTTAACCGGAAAAAAAGGAGGAACATTCTGCAACTGTCTCATTATAGGGATGTTGCAACTTCCCCTCCACTGGAATGATGACCAGCTACATCAATAGAGATCACATTTTGCTATTGACTAGTGAGCATCGAAGCCTATTATATGCAATGACTGGATCAAGGATTGGATGTAGAAAGTGAAATCTTAATGGCTGAGTAGTGAGAAGAGGATACAGTGAGGCAATAACAATGATTTGAACTAAGGCCCTCATTGGAATATAGCCACATCATGTCAGGTGTTTAAAAAAAAAAAAAGGTAGACACAAGGCCATCAACATAATCATTACTGAGAGAAAACAACAGTTATTGGTTCTCTTCATTAGGATTACAAATCTGTGTGTCTTCATTTGGATACCCAGAATGTTTGGAATAGCTGTCCACCTGATTACATCACCATCTCTGACGCCTCACTGTATTTATAACAATCATACCATACTCGCTCTTTGCCAAAATCCTAAATTTGGGGCAATCATCACTTTCACCATTTAAAAACGACGCAAATAATTAGAATCTCTGATATGATAGTTGGTCGTCTGTTTGGTCCGTGCATTGAGGAAGGTTGACGCTTCCAGCTAAGGGCATCGTATCACATTATATTATAGTTCGTACCTGGACCACAGGTGCCAATGACCCAGCTGAGTGTACATGCAAACAACAAGCTGACATTTAACCAATCATCAGCACCACATTCTGAACAGACGTCATATAGTTATGAGCTTCGTTACAGGTCTTTAAACAGATGCAGTCAATATGTTTGCTTATCTGGAAATGTTTACTTAACGTTAACCGTCGTGCGTGCTTGTATTCAACCAACGTTGCCAAACCTTTAAAGTATTAAACCACATTATCGACCAAACATATCTTACGTAGACTGACAAGTTACACTACTTTGTCTCAGAAACAGTTAGCTAGATAATACAATGATTATCAGTTTGTTGTAGCAGGATAAAAAAATAACCCCAATTAGACATATATGCTAGAGAGCTAACGTTAGTGCCAGTTTTTGCTTTATAAAGCACCGTCACGCGTAATTTGAAGATTTGAACAAACATGAGACACCCTTAAACATTAACTGCTTGTTTAAAGTTAGACTAAATAACAGTGGTTAAGTGAGATACTGTGCGGCGATAAATAAATACACACCGAACGTTTGCATTACCAGGGCTGACGTGTAAACGACTAGGCCGCTCACATTAGCCACTTCAGAGCTAACGTTAGCTGTGTTAGCCACACGGACTCAGCTAACGGTTAACGGGACAGACCATTAAAGACAGAAAGATATAAACAAATGGCGCTACGACTGCTAGGTTTTTCATGAAATAAACAAGGCTACTAACTAATTTCAGCAGCCGAGAGCCAGTTTAGCTCAGCGGCAAAGCTCACTTAACGAAGATAAATAAATATTTAACTCACACTTCCTCCATCTTTTATTATAATTTTCTTTGCAAGAAGAATGCTGCGGTTCAGCCGCTTTTTCTTCTTTTTCTCCCCCGTCATTGTTAACTTATGTCCATTCTTGGTGTTAGAGGGTCATCGTTGCTCCTATTAAAACTAAAACAATCTACTGATTTCGGCTACAAAGCTCATAACACCTCGGAAGTCGGCTATAGGCAGCTAGCAGTGAGCTACCTAAATGATGATTTCTCCACCTCACTTCAACCCTTCTTCCTGAACTAAACGTAGACCCGCCCTTCCAGTGCAACACCGTTCAACGATTGGCTGCCTGATGCACGAGCACGTCCAAACTGTGGTTCTGATTGGTTAAGAAAATACGTTGGCGCTACCCATCTTCAAATGGCGATTTGCGAACATCACACCGCGGGTTCGGGTGTACAAGAGGAAATCCCTTATATGGTGATTGGCTGAATTTATCAAGAAAGTGTACACGATGTTCAGCTACTTCCACAAAACAATAATAACAAAACATCTAACCGCGCGTTCGGTATATTAGAATAAATATCCTACACTGTGAAGTGGCTGAGATTTATGAATAAAGTTTAAAAGGTGTTCAGCTACTTCCACAAAACACAATAAAAACAATTCAGAGTCAACATAACAACAAAAAAATAAAAATAAATAGAGGGGTGCAAGTCCTTGAATCTCTTTTCTTACACTAATTTCAGATTAGTCATTTTTGTTGTTGTTGACAAAAGTAGGTGAATTACATTTTCTGCTACCTACTTTGGAAGTGCCCATACTATGATATGTACAGTAAGTGTGATGTTTTTGTATGTGTGCTGCTTTATATATTATATTATATGTCATATTTTGTTAAGTTGAAAATGTTATAGGTTGTTGTCCCCTGTCTATGTACTGGAAAATTAGTAGAACATGACAGATGTTTACACAACCCAATAAAATACAATGCAGGCTCACAATAACAAATGATATACGTCTTCGTAGAATAAATCATGAATGAGAATATATTGCTAACATCAGTTTAAATTAAAAAAACACCATAAAAATAATGACAAAATGGCAAAGTATGGTGTAGTAATGTGGTAGAAATTGGTTCAACAGTAAATAAAAGGACACACCATCAAAGCAAACAATGCCTATAGAGCTTTACATTTTATTGACTTAAATAAAGTGTTAGAAATCCATTTGAAATTAAAGAAGACAGGAGAAAATCAATTTTCTTGGCTGATTGTTTATATTGTCACCATTACAAGTGATTCAAAATATCCCAAAATTAAGTTGTCTATCTTCCAATTTACATTAGGGTTCATTTTAGGTCATCAAATTAAGTGTTTTTCATTTCTGGGAAGAGAAAACTTTTGTGCTGGAAAACTGTCACAGAGTGTGTGTAACTGTGGGAAATTTACAGTGAGTCACTAAAAAAAACTGGAAGTTTGGACATCTAACTAGGATCAAATTAGGGATATACATCATAAAGCATGAGAGCCGTATTTAAAAAAATTAAGATCTAGAATGAGTAATTTCACCAACAATGCAAAGGGTTACCGACGAACAAGTTTGGATTAACATGTCGGTTACATTGAATAGATAATCAATATTTTGCCCAGAATGGTCTGCTGTAGCTGTTATTTTCCTCCATGATCTCATTGACGTAAAAGGGCAGTTCTTAAACTTCCACCTGAAGTACAATTTCCACACATAATACACTAAATACGTGGTTCCAGATATATTTCATCTATTTAACCATTCAAAATAAATCATATTAAATTTGTTTTTATATTAAATCTATTGTACAATATCCTGTAGTGTTAGTGTAATCCAGTAGAGTATAAATTTGTAGCAACAAATCATGGAACCCATTGCGTT